GGATCCTATTTACCTGTCCCCGTTCTAACGGGCTTTCCCTACAGGTGTAGCCTATGGGAATGACATCTGTAGTTTCACGGCGGTTGATCGAGCGACACAATTTGACCCCCCCCCCCCCCCCCCCCCAGCTTGATTCTTAGTTTCTGTTAGTAGTTCGACGGTTTGGAGTTCGTGCTTACGGTCTCAGCTGTGACTGCTTGGCTCTCCTGCCAATGGTGGAGCGTCATTTGTTGTACACGGGTGCTTAAGGGTAGCTTGATTCAACGGAGTGGTCTACTTAAGTGTGAAAGGGGTATTGGGGAGAGAGGGAGAGGGAAGAGAGGAGGGCACTGATGGCAACAGAGCGAGGGTTCCTTTGAATACTTGAGTCAGTCTTCCTACAAGTTACTCAGCGACTAGTATAGAAATGCTCATCTTTGCAGAATAAGTTCATATTGTAGAAAGTAGTACAATACAGGTAAGTGATATCCCAACCCGAAATCAGCATATGATACAGTTCCATTCCCATATCGAAACATAGTCCAGTGACCAGGTTGACAGTGATTGACAGCATCCCGTCATGTCAGACAGAACAGGTATAGTACATCGTAGGTGGGTTGTGTTGGTTGTGTGCGACCAGCGCTGTTGTTGTTGCTGCTGCTGCTGCTGCTGCACCTCGACAATCGCAGACTGTCAGGAGTATTGCACGCAGTGCGGCATTCGTGCTTCGACCAAAACGCGGAAGCGAGCAAGAAAGGAGTGACATGACATGACATGATGCGGCGTGAGATGGCATAATCAGAACACAACTCCAGGTCAGTAAGAAACACCCAACGCCAAAACAGATCGCAAAAAGAGCAGCGAAAAGGAATGAAGAACAAGTAGTCGAGGTAGCCACGGCCACACGGCCTAGGAAGATAGCCCTAGGTCGCGTTGCTGATGGGCAAGGGTCGCACGCGGGCAACCCCCTCGCAAGCCATGTCCAGAAGGAAAACCAAAGCAACAACACAAGGACCCGAGATATGGCACAGGTAATGTACAGTACAGTAACAACCACATAAACAAGAAACATGCAGACGATCATCCGGAACAACAAATTCCCAAGTGAACGGATGGCATGAACAACGGCGATGCGATCGAAGGCGACAGACTCAATGCACCACGGTCAAGGGCAAGGTGCATGGCGAGAGTAAGCATCGCATCATCCGTCGATTTGCCGGTCGAGAACGAAACAGACGCCCGTCGATCGGTCCGCCTCACTTTGGTGGGAGATTGAAGCCGCGCGGATAACCCGCGGCCCCGGCGACAAATTGCCTAACCCTCCAGAAAGCTAACTAACTGCCCAGCAGTTGGTTGCGCTTCGGAGGAGGCCGTTCTTTTGTCCCGGGGCACAGGAAGGAATACTTTCACTTCCACCGTTGCTTATCCCAGTCGGAAGGTCTCGTCTCATCGTAGATTTGTCCTCCCTGGTTGTGGATAATGACGGGAGCTTGGGTTCGACGGGGACCAGCATGCGAGCCTAGTTCGGGGGATTTGTGGTTAGTTCTCGAATTTATGAGGACGATGGGACAAGGGTTGCAACGGAGATAAGATCCACTCATACCTCGCATGTCCGTCACGACCACCCCGTTCCCGCTGCTGCCACTGCTGGACAGAGAGGAGGTCGAGTCGCTGACTTTGTGAGGCATTGTGCTGGATTGGAATTGTACAAGAGATTGGATCTGGTTGAAGTAGGTGAAGTGAATAGACGAAATAGTATGAGAAGCGGAGAGTTGATGTGGAAGTATAGGCAAAGGCGGGATTTATATGAATACTGGTTGATCTGTGGCTGAGCAAGGCACAATAACCAGGAGGATGAGAATTAGGAATAGAGACTTAGAAGCGATTTAGGTTGCTGTAGTTGTAGTGACTAGCTGTAGGAGTTGATTGAAACACAACGGAGGAAAGGCAGGACGATGGGGGCCTTTTGTATGTTTCCCCCAACGGCAGCAGAAAGAAGCATAAGGGATCGGGAAATAGACAGAAACCAATCTGGACTGGGGGCCTGGAGCAATGCCAAAAACGGATCCCAATCGAATCTCGCATCGTTTCCCCCGGGTTTTACCCATACGAACCCAGGAAGAAAGGGAAGATCGGTCATCTTGCAGAGCGACTAGTAGGAAGAAGCTCCGGGCCCGCCTGGCCTGCTCCATCCATGCTGTATGTATGTACAGTACTATGTATCTACACAGTACGCTCTACGAAGCATGGTCGATCCCCAGTTCCCAATCCAGACGTCATGATCCGAAACCAACCAACCGAGCATCGAATGTCTGGAATCCCCATCGAAGCGGCCAGGCTCCACCGTGCTGCCTGCCCGGGCTGCCAGGGGCAAACCGAGCCCGAATGGGGACGAGGCAGCAAACCGGATGGGATGATTCGTCACTTGAAGCACCCGGCGAAAGGGCGGTTTCAGGGACCGACCCATTGGGTTCGACAGCTAACCTTAGCATAGCCCAGGTGTATGCCTGGGCGCCAGCCACACTTGTGTTCTCCTGAGACCCGAACCTGAGCACCGCCTGATTCCGAGTTGGACATACATACTCCGTAACTTACCCCTTTTGCTACCCAGTGCCAGTGCCAGTGCCTGGGCATGGACAGAAAGCTGTGGCGCGGATGGAGGCTGAGACAGTTGGCTATCCAACAGGTCCTTTCGTATCGAGCATCCCAGATAAGGTGATGATGAACTGGACCACGGTGTGGATGCTGGTCTGGTCCGTCCGAGTCTCGCCTTACCTATCGTGATTCACGGGAGGGCGACCAACCCCAGCAGATGACCGTATAGAACAGACAACGAGACAATGTGATTGGTGCTGGGGACGTATCTAAGCCGTCAATTACAGCTAATTACAGCCTCTTACTTCCCTCGATCACATGACCAAGTGGACAGCAGCAGAGCAACCGGCCGGTTAGTCAGAATCCGATCCCGACCAAAATAGCAGCAACCGCCTTCCGGATACCTACCTACCTGGTCTAGCCCGCTTGACATCGCATCATCATCAGAATCATCATCATTATCATTATCGCCATCCCCACGGCTGGTGCTTCCCGAGTGACGGTGAAGGGATCGTCGTGTCGTCCCTTCCCATCTCTCAGACAATTGACAATAGTGATGCTGTTCCCATCTAATTGCCGCGGGCCTTTCCCCGCGGATACCCATTCTAGCTTTCCCTAGTTTGCGCGATTATCACCTGCTCGGACTCATAGTTTCGGACCTCCAGCGACTATCTAATTATTCAGTCGTCTTCCCAAACGGGTTACATCGGTGGTGGATGTAGAAAGTCCGGTGCAAAGCGAACGTTAATGCCACTTCTTCCAACGGGCTGGCCGTTTCTGCGGTGTAGCGTACGGTCTATGTACAGTACTGTACCACCTTACCTTGCAGTCACTAGACTTGGTTACTGTGGCTATCGTACAATTAGAAGCATAATCTGTATGGTACGGAGGGAGTACCTAGTTAACCACCAGCACCGAAGAGATAGGTTAAGCCAGCCAGCCAGCCAGCCAGCCAGCTAGCTCAGCAGCTCAAGCTAGCAAGCTCCGCATCACCCGCCCCCATCGTTCTGAAGCTGTACAGTAAGGTACCTAAAATAGGCCCCGAAACCTGACCGGGTCCAGCCATAGACACCAAACCCCCCTTGACTAAGTGCTGTAGTTACTGTACATACAGCTTTACTTGTCTAATCCTCTCTAGTAACGCGAGTCACGACGAACCTGGAGGACGTACTGTACTTTGTCATTGGAGGGGCCTAAGAAGAGCCCGGGCTCTATTCGTCCTTCTCTACAGCACCACGTCTTCGATATCAGATGATCCCATGCCCTCCGGCCCTCCCCTTGGTACTCTCACCGCTATCTTGACGGACGCCCATGCTCACGCTTTGGTCCGGGACAAGACGGAGGTCTCTCTGCTTGCTCCAGGCTTAGAGCTGAGTACGGAGTACTATTCTACCGAATCGAAAGGAACGTATCTTTGTCCGCGTAAGTGGTGACCACCGAACGGACTAGTTACATGTACAGTACTGTACGGAGTACTCCAAGGACAGAACTTCCCAATGGCCCTCGACACCGCCAGAGGGGAGGGAAACCAACCGTGCTCCGGGGCTGGAATATCATTGACCAAGATCGCGGCAGGGACGTGTCACAGCTCCCGGATGGTGGAGGGGAGATGCAGTAGGTGCAGTGGCCCTGTTGACTTTCCTCTGAGTAGTAGACAGGTCGGTCCCCTGCGCAACTGTCTGTACGGAGTACTGTACCTGCGTAGCCCAGCAGTGCCAGTTAGTTTTTTTTTTTTTGTTGGATGAAAGACGGGATTATCTAATTCCTGAGTCATCGGGGGCTGCGGACTGCCACTTCAGCTCGTCGCCAGGCTAGGCTCCAAAAGGGCTAGATTGCACTGGCATTGCCAAGCGGAGAGTGAGGCTGCACGGGTTGGGTGGATTGGTTGGTTCGTTTCTGGGAGGTACGCACTTCGGTCACGGGGGGTGGGGGGTGGGGGGTGATGCACTCGAATCATGGATAATGATGGTGATGATGATGATGCGGAAGTAGGTACTCCGGACCTTTTTTCTTTTTCGTCGAGGCAAGGCATCGGTTAGCGGCATGTTGCTTGAAGGCAGACACGGTGGTGGCCTGGTCAGGCTACATGCGTCATGCTGTTTAGGTAGGTATTGTACCGAGTACGGAGGACTTGTAGACATCTGTGCTCTTATGTACATAACCGCGGTGTTGTTGCGTGCTTTGTCAACAGTGCAATCCTGTGCAGTCCCAGGGGCAAGTCTCATCTCCTACCCAACTATACCACCGGGCATGAGGCATTAACAAAAGACAGAGGCTTGAGACTGTATGACTCCTCTGTTTCGATATGAGTGAGCGGATACAGAGCCAAATCAGGGGCAAGGGGTTGTTGTTGTTGTTGCTGCTGTTGTTGTGAGAACAAGACCCATGTTTCACCGTCTACTCCTCCGTATCTCATCTCGAGACGTCGGAGATTCGTAACCTCCTGTGATTATGGACGAACCCACTCAGACACCTCCTTGCGGGTAGCACACCGGTTACCAGTCCTAGGTCAGTCATTTTTGGTTGGTAACTCATCTCTCTGACTCGGAAACCCCCGAGTCCGCTTCGGATGCTCTACATGCAAAGAGTTGTCGGATAGCTTTCGGCAAGAAAAAAGACTTCTCGTCGACGAGCTCCTTTCGCACCCCGACTCTGAATGAAACAGCAACCGAGCTCTCTGGTGTTGGGTCGAAACATGCCGTTTCACCAGAAGTATCTCCCGATTCGATTGCAAGCATTCGTAGTGACTCGTATATCCAAGATCGAGTCAGTTGGCTTAGCAGTCATACTCCACATACAAGCTACAGTCAACAATGCGATAAGCAATGGTAGCGGACCAAGGGCAGATAAAAAAAAACCAATAAGATTGAGAAGTTCGGAAAAGTGGTAGTGATGGGAAAGTAAACGACTTGATTTATGAACTGTTTCTGCGCCGGAACCTATTGACAATACTGCCCTCACTCTCTTCCTCTCTATACTCCCTATGTCTTTCTGATCATAACCAACCTCACTCCGGCAAACACCCCCTCACTCATAATCCCTCAGATACCGACCGGGCAAATCCACATCCCACATCGGCCGCTCCACCACGGCCACCTCGAGGAACCCTTCTCCCGCGTCCTCGTTCTCCTCCTCTTCCGATGACGAAAGCGCATCCCCGCTACCGGCGTGGTAGGTGCTACCGCTCCCGAGGGGCACGATACCCAGCAGGTCACGGTACTTGTAGGTATGCCACCAGCGACGGGCGGGGAGGGTCTTGCTGATGGCGGACCCGTCCTCCGCGCTGCCGGAGGCCAGGACGATCTGTTTGCTCGGGGCGGAAGGCGAGTCGACCACGTCCTGGGCCGCGTTGGCGGCCAGCAGCTTGTCCTGTCGACCGCCGAGCGAGACGCGCTTCATCGGGGTGCTGGTCTCGATGGCCTGGCGCTCGCGGCGGAGTCGCGCCAACGCGACTTCGTTTCGCGCGGTGCGCTCCTCGTCGTCTTCCTCGTCCTCGTCCTCGTCCTCATTGTTGTTATCGCCCCGCGGCCGGGATGGAACCCGTTCTAAAGAGATGATCTCGGCGTTGCTGTCATCGTCGCCAACGGTCCTGCGCATCTGGGTGCCGAAGAAGATGTCGGATTGGGCCAGGGACATGCGGTCTCCGGCACCGCTGTTGGGTTTCTTGGTGGTGCGGGCGGCGGTCGAATCATCCTCAGTGGGGTCACGTTTGCGTTTTTGGGTGGTGTTGTTGTTGTTGTTCGTTGTGGTAAGTTGGGTATTTTGGTTCTTGGTGTTGTTCTTATTCGGGGTGGAGGTCGTGTTGTTGTTGGAGGAGGTGTTGGTGATGGCAGGGATGTCGGCGGCGGCGGTGAGTTCCTCGGGAGAAGGGAAGTCCTGGTTGAGATCGAACATCCACAGCCAGGAGGTGCCGTAGAGCCAGAGCCGTTCCCGGGTCTTGGACAGATCCCACACGCAGCCCATGGCGCGGTCCTTGACGCCCCGGAACTCGGCGGGGAGGAAGGCCTTCGGGTTGCGGCGCGACCAGTCGGAGAGCTTGCCCTCCGCGGCGTCGAACTCGACGAGCTGATGTTCGCTCGTCAGAGCCATGAGTCGGGTTTCGCTGCTGCCACTCTTCATCTTGTTGTCGGCGTCGCCGT